CCACCACCACCACCACCACCACCACCACAACAACAACAACAACAACAACAACAACAACAACAACAACAACAACAACAACAACAACAACAACAACACAACGACAACAAGAACACAACCACCACCACCACCGCAGCAACAACACCAACACCAACACCAACACCAACAACAACAACAACAACAACAACAACAACAACAACAACAACCACAAACACAACCACCACAACAACAACAACCACAAACACAACCACCGCCACAACAACAAAAACAACTACAAAGAACCACCACAACCACAAGCTCAACCACCACCACCACCACAACAACAACAACAACAACAACCACAACCACAACCACAACCACAACCACCAGAACAACCACCACAGCCAGAACAACAACTACCACAACAACCACAACCACAACCACAACCACAACAACAGCAACAACAACAACAACAATAACAACAACAATAACAACAACAACAACAACAACTACAACAACAACAACAACAACAACAACCAAAATAACAATAACAACAACCACACCCACAACAACAACCACAACCACAACCACAACAAAAACAACACAACCACCACCACCACAACAACAACAACAACAACAACAACAACAACAACAACAACAACAACCGCCACCACAACAATAACAACGACAATGACAACGCAACCACCACCACCACCACCACCACAACAACAACAATGACAACAATAATGACAACAACAACAACCACAACCACCACCTACGTGACACATGCGGCCTAGGCGGCGGGCAATTCGGCCACCACGGCCGAGAAAGTTGGCTGCTGTCGTACCAAATACCCTTACAAGGGTATTTGGCGTGTTTTTTGCAAGTCACACAAGTGCAGTGTCGCCCGCCTGACGGCGTGCTCGTGAGCGGGAGCATAGGTTCTTGTCAGGGTGAGAGGCGCGCGTGGCGGCGGGGGGTATTGACGGTGAGGCGCAGCTGTGCGCTGCCTAGGCGTGCACGGCGTCACGGGCCAGCGGGACGCACGGCGTTTGTTTGTATTTTATATTAAATAATTGTTGTAGTAATTTTTGTTATGCTCCAGCGTGCCGTTGACTCGGACGCGACGCTGGACTTAATGGGCGTCACCGTAGTCGAGGGCCTTGAGCGCGGGCCTCGACTAACGGTCCGCGAGCTCGGGGTGCTGGCAAGGGTCCCCTACCAAGCCGTGGCAAAGAAAACCACGGTGTAGTTAGGATCTGAGTTTGTAATTGGACTTCAGACGGAAGGGGCGTTAATGCTGGATGTATATGACCTATGTTCCGGGTTCGGTGAGGTCGCGTGGGGGTGTATCGTATTTGCGGGATCGCCTGGGGTGTGCCTACAGAGTGTTTCCGTGACTGCGTCGAGGTTGGCCCTGTAAAGCATTATGGGGAACCCCGTAGTAGCTGCATCCATGCTCAAGCCACCAACGAGGGAACATGCAGGGGCTGCACCCCCCGGCAGGTGGACGATACCGGCCACAGGCGAGCTGGTAGCACCCAGGCGGGGTCCCTTCGATGGGCCGGCCACTGTTCCCCTTCTCTGGCCCTCTCCCCCTACGAGCGTCCGCAGTCTCTGCCTAATGTTACTCGGCGGGGACTAGCGGTATGTCCCTGAGTTGTGGGCGCTGAGTTTTTCCCCGAACTGCCCTCGGGCCATAAGGTGCGAAGGTCGGCAGAGGGGCAGACCAATAGCGCGGCGGAGCTGCAAGAGACCGCGGTCGGGCGAGCAGAGAACTTAGTGGGGCAGCACAGTAGAGGTAGGGCGGAGCTGTAAGAGCCGACGGCGGACGCAGGCAGAACGAGTGAACCGGATGGGTTAGTGCGCAGGGTACACTCGGAGTAGGAAGAGAGCGACGGGGCAAAGGCGGAAAGGAGAAAACAACGAAGACGAAGACAGGGAGGGAGCAAACAAACGAGAGAGGAGATGAGCCCGGACGCGCCGGGTACGTTCGATGGGGGGAGTGTTTGAGGAGGCGGAGAGAGGGTCGGGCGCTGTATAGCCGGTCGTTGTGGGAGGACAACGCTGGCCGGGGAGGCGACGGGGGACGAGCATCGGGCACAGGAAGGTCAGGCAGCGAAAGTTGAGTAAGAGATGGGAATGGACCTGGACGAGGGGCCGCGCCGGGTTCATCTGGAGGGAAAGAGGGTGTGATGGGAGGGAGATCGAACAACTAGTTCGGCTCTCCATAGATTTAGGTCGGGGAAGAATGTAGGTAGGCGTTTTTTTGGGTCGGCGAATCCAAATTAGTCATTAGTTTTGGTGTGAGATCAGTAGATTAGGAGCTAAGTAGAAAACTTAGTGCGCGGGGATGGCCATGGAGGAGAAGAAGAGGGGAGTGGAGTTCAGTTAGATCGGTCGTTTCTCGACCGTTTTCGACGAACAAAGAAGCGAATCCGGGGTTTTAATAGTGGGCGACCCCATTTCTAAAGTTACATTCGAACGAAAGTTAGTAGAATAGGCGGTACGAGGGGAATGAGCTGCGCGGGGGCTATGGCGGAGAAGGGAGATGGCAGGAGGAAAAGATGACTAGTTCGCCGATTCTTGACGAAATCGGGAGGGGGAAAGTTTGAAGTCGGGGTTATGATGATGGGCGACCTCAGAAATGAAGTTAGTTCTTACGATAAGTTAGCAGAGCGGAAGTTAGTAGGGAGAAGGGGTAGCGAGTTGGAGGGGAGGTTGAAAGTGGAATGAATCTGGCTGCATGTGCAGATAGATTCATTCGGTCTTCGTATGTCCCGTTGAACTAGGTAGTGTGGGGCCAGGCTTCGGGGGTTAGGGGCTTACCTGGTTGGTAATGTGGTGCTCCTTTCGTTGGGGCAAGGTAGCGAGAGTAACTGCCGAGTTGAAGCCCTGCCCCGTTAGTCGCTGTAGATGCCTGTTCCGTCGTACGGAGTAACGAGAGGGAGTCAGAGGAGGTGGGAAGCGCGTACCTGGTCGTATTGCGGTGGAAGATTCATCTTCGATTTGCAGGACGTGGTCTGCCTTTGGGGTTGTTATGCTATTGTGATCGACGCCCACATACTCTCCTTGATTGTCGGGCACCCGACCTCTATTTCCATTGGGGCTTTCGCTTTCGCTATCCGTGCGCCCGCCGCTCACACTAGGATGTTGGTTGCTCCAGGGGTGGTGCTCTCGACAGATAGCAACCGTCCGTGCCGCTTTGATCGAGTCCGGCCCACTGCGAATGGCAAGAAGGCCAAAAAAGGGATAGGTGAATGTAGACACAGGGAGAGACTGCGTACAACCATAGAAAAGGGGAAAAAACAAGAACTTACCTGTTGACGGATCTGTCGGCCAGCATACAGCTATTCTGCTGTGCATAGCAGTGGGGGCCCTGGTGGAGAGACTGCAGGCGTTCTTATTGGCTGGTGGGATGCTGCTAGGACAGTACGCATGGGCGCCAGAGGCCGCTACTAGTCTGGAATCGGTAATTAGAGCACACGGCGTACCGCTGATCTCATCAGTTGGGGACAACATCAGGCAGCGACGGAGCTGCAGGCGTAGCCGTTGACTAGTGTGCGGCCTAGTCCACGACACGAGCTAGTTGCAAACGAGCCGGGGCTTGAGGAGTCGTCTATCGGCTGATGCGTTGCTCAGCCTGCCGAAAGGAGTAGCTGGAAACAAGCCGCAAGTTTGAGGGCCATCTGGAGGCCGACGGTCAGCAGTTTGGATGTAAGGTAGTCAACGGGCAACAGTTCGACCTCAGTTTGACCGACGATCGCGCACTTGGCCATCATTGCGGGGCCCTCAGGCGAGTGAAGGAATCAAGGCCCTCTCCTGCGAGTCTGAGTGCATCCTTCTTGGATCTGAGAGACTTAATGACATCTCCTTATGCCCTTCTCCTTCTAAGTCTAGTCCATTGGTTCTGAGAGGAAGGCGGCAGGCCGGATTGCAACCCGTAATCCGTGCCAAGGCCTCTGTGGGAGGTTCGCCCCACCGATCGCGGGAGCTCTGTCGGGACTGAGGAGGAGTCCTGGAGGCAGGGAACTGAGTCGTAATTCCCTGATCCCTTCTATAAGCCCGATTATAACCCCTATTTGTACATCCTTCTATGTTTGACTAATTATATGCGCAATCTCAATTTTATGCGCCTCCCTGACCTTTTTTGCCGTGGTGGCGCCCAGCCAAAAGCAAAAAAAAATGCACCGCCAAATTGAATTCGTTTTTTTTTTTTTTTTTTTTTTGAAGAAACCCATGTGGGGCCTGCTAGAGGGCGTGATATGAGCATCTCCTTCTAGCAAGGGCCCCACTGGATGCTCTGGGCCATTGGTGGGCAGCAGCACCTGCCGGAAACAGGGTCCAGTGTCCCGTAGTACACTCATTTCAACCTTTACCCTGGGGCCATTACCCAGTTTTGGCTATGCAGATCGTGAGATAGAAAGGACAGAAAACAAGTACACCGCCTCTTCAGCTTCAGCAAGCCGCCGGATGGGCATGATTATCTCTGGCTGTGTCCTCTTCTTTTTTTCCTTTTTTTTTTGGTCTTGCAGGGGGCTCCCGTCTACTGGTGAGGAGCTATCACCTGCTGGAAAGCGGGCCCAGCGTCCCCTGAGACAGCTCGTACTGGGAACTGGGCCCAGCATCCCTCATGAACTACGCTGGTAATGCCACTGATAGTACCGATACTATGATGATGATGAGAAAGCTGATGAAACTTTTGATATTGAGCTGTTGATGATGATAGTGTTTTTTTTTTCCTTTTTCTTTTTTTTCCGGAAAGCCCTTTCCCAAGTCCACTATCCTGGTGATGGCAAGAGAACCGTTGGGATTGAGGACCTGGCCATTGGGATGCTCCATCTATTGATGGGGAGCGGCACTTGCTGGAAACCGGGTCCAGCGTTCCCTGGAAACAACATTACAATACAGTGTGTCGGGGGTAAAATTGTTAATCTCCCCGACATAGAGCTACTCTTACCCCTCGGGGCTGCAAGTGATGCCCTTCCCTTTTTTTTGTCCAGTTGATGTAGCTCAGTGGTTAGAGCACCGGTTGGAAATGTGCATTGTGGTATGAGGTTGTGGGTTCAAAACTCCGCAGCCTCGCGCATGGACACCGGCAGGGTGTTAGAATGACGCACGGCTGGACACACACTCCCCTGGGCTGACGCATGGTACTATTACAGACACTGCCTGCGCACCACCCAGGGGGTCAAGTCCATGGATGTTGTATGCTGGTCTGGTCTTAACGTTGGTTGCTGGTTGTTGTTGGCTTTGGTCGATCTGATGATCTCTCCCAGTCCAGACACTACACACATTATATCCACTCCGCACCGTAGTGCAAGTGGTAGAGCCCTCCAGTTTCATACTGTAGGTCACAGGTCCGTGTCCGGTTCCGGACTTTGGGGGGGTCCTGTCCAGATAGACCTGTCTCTACCACATACACACACTGTGACACACATGAGATACTACCCCAGATAGCACAATCCATACACACATACTATACATACATACATACATATATATATATATATATATATATATATATATACTATTTGACGATATATATATATATATATATATATATACTATTTGACGATATATATATATATATATATATAGCTCAAAATATACACACACATACATGTACTAGTGGAGGTGAGGTAAGAGCACCTCTCACCAGTACTCAGTACTTACTTCGCAGATGCCCCATGGTGGGGAGCAGCATACAACCATACATAGAGCCCACGGGCACATATCTATGATACAGAGTACATACACATATATATATACACAATCATACATACATATACAACCATAGGGCTGGGAGGAGGTCACGATCAACTGATAATGATAATAGGCGTTCGATGATAAGTATCCCCCTTAATATCAGCTAGGTCTGTGGTGGGTAAGTAGAGGGCGTGAGTCGTTGGTTGTTCTGGATCAACGAATGATGATGATAGGCGTTTCGATGACTAAGTACCCCCCTTAAATCAGCTAGACTGTGTGGGGCAGACTAGGGCTGTGGGGGCGAGTAGAGGGCGTGAGTCACTAGTTGGTCTGGACTAACCGATGATGATGATAGGCGTTACGAGGATTACCTCGCCCAGCTAGGACTGTGGTGAGTGAGTAGAGGGCGTGAGTTACCAGTTGGTCAACTTAGGGGCTAGTAGGAGATTGCTTCGGCCTGGCGTCCGAATTTCCCGTGCGACGAGGCTCGTTCGATTCCGCTTCCACCACGGCTGGGCMATGGCTAGCCCTGGTGCCTGTCACTGCTGTTCGGTCCAAGTTCCCCTTGATAGGGGTAACGGTCCTGAGTGCTGGTCACACTGAGGTAGGATAGTAGAGATAGGGGGTGCGCTAGGAGTATTGATGTGAGGATGGGATGGGAAGGTAGCATCGTTCCCTCAGGACGACCATGGCTGACCGCTCCTGGCGATCAAGGTGTGCCTAGTAACCGGCCTCTACAACACCCTGGGCTTTTTTTCAAAAAAAAAAAAGAAAAAAAAAACGCAGGACTCTTTTTTTTTTTTGCAAAAGTATCCCTTGCGTAAGCCCTCTATCCCGGCGCCGGGCCGGCGATGGTAAGAGAACCGTCAGAATTGAGGGC